AAAAGTACCGGTTTGGCACCGGTATCGGATAAAACCTAAACGATACCCATCCCTAGTTAAATATGACTTTAGATTAAAAGATTAATGCTAGAAATTAACTCTTTTGTCTGGTCACTCATGCGGTGTTAATCGATGACCTTTTAAGCTGTAAATCGAGCTTGCAAATAAAACACTGATAAAAAATTATCAATATTAAAACGTGCTAACAGATATTAACATTGATATTCTGTAAATTTAGCACAAAGAGGAAGAAATACTTCATATCATTTACTTTGCGCTACAGTGAACAATAATAAAAAAAATTAAACGATATTGCTGTAAAGATCCAGATATCCAGTATCTGTTAATTAAAGAGAGCCTTAAAACCGTCTTATTCTGCGGGACAACAAAAGCTGACACGACCAGCTACAAATCCATCTCTGTGAAACAACTCGATTTCCTCTAACATGAACATTAAACTACATTCATACATCCACTCCCATGATTGTTTTCCTGTACTACGACCCACCATTCACACAAATGTCACGAAATCAATCAACCCTATTTTATTTTTGAAAGATCAGCGGTGTCAAAGGACCGCTCGAGCTGGATTTCATTCCATTAGAGATCAATACCAAATAAAAGAACTCAAGACCCAATTACAAGCGGTGAGATATAACCGTTGCTCTCTGGAAGAACAGTGCAGCGAGACAAGGAAGACCTGCTCCCTTAGATTTCGTGACTCACAGAACCCCATAAAGCGCCTCACCCTCTGTCTTCATTTCCACCCTCTCTAGCAAGCTCTGTGACAAATCAACTCTTTTTCAGAGGGCAGAGGACAACTCGCACTCCGTGTCAGCATTTACAGTACTCTGCAACTCCAGTGTTGCAGAAGACCTAAGTGCTTAACAGGCAGAAAACTTCCACAACCACCAGAGGGGTGAAACACAGACGTGGTTTTATGAAATCCTGAAACTTCTCACCGCTCAGCTGCAGCTTCTCCCCATTAAGTGCGCAGCTATGACAGGACAGTGTCACTTTTTATTTCACACCTGACACTGAGTGCTTCTCGCTGCAAACTTTTCCTGTCACCCAATTAGAAAATGAACGTGCTCGTCTCTTTGTAACGAGAAATGTGTCGATAAAATAAACGTTTGACTGGTGTTAAACTCGACTATAGACCCAGACAGTGTGTCTATCTCGCATTGCAACACTTTTTGGGCTAGCATCACAGTGCAGAATACCAAACTATTTGCATGACTCACAGTTACTCATACTTACACCCTAGTTTTACCCAACCTGTCCTGTTTTGCAACATAATCAAAACCTTGGATGCAAGTTGAAGCAACGCTGTCAAACGTAAGAGACAATGAAACAATGACAAACAGGAGTTTCATTTCAGACATGAATCTAGAAAATAGATCCACATTTTTAAATGTAGGATTTTTAAACA